GGATAGGCTCTGGTAGGTCATGCAGATGATTCAGAAATGCTGGCTTAATTTATCACCTTTTACCTATAAAAGATAACAGTACAGGCGTACACTCATCTGAACTAATCATTCAATTTCTCATTTTATTGTTTCGATAATTATCACGAATTCCTACTACTCCCCTCCCTCTTCTTTTTTTTTTCTCTTTCAAAGACTTAATAACATGATAACTTATATCTAAATGTAATAAAACTAAATAAAATTTAAATAATTATATAATAAAATTATGTTCTTTTTATAATCCGAATTTTAGTCAAAATTATAGGTTTTTAATTTGTAAATAAAATACTGTATAACCGTAGGCTTCAAAATTATACACTTATAAATAATATAACGCATAAACTTATACTTTAACATTTAGATGTAATTTTTTAAGGAATTCAAAAATTAAAAATTCTTTATTATGCAATCTTCTCTCTAAAATACATATCGATATCTATAATGTTGTAATATAAGTTATTAGATTATTCAATTTTAACTTTTAACAGATTATGATTCAATAAAACATATTTTTAATAGATTATAACATTTAAAAAACAATTTAAATAAGTAATTAGATATTTTGTAGTAAAATAATATTAGGTTTTTCAAATATTTAATGTTTGCTATTATGAAGATGACATAAAATTTTTAAATGTGCGCTTAAATAATATTTATTTTTTAACGTTTGATTGCATAAAAGATCATTTGAAACTACCGATCGAAACAAGATAGAATAAAAATATTTATAAACAAATTTAATAAAACGATAAGTTTAAAAGTATAATTTATTTGTTCCTATTAATTAACTCTTTTTTAATCAACAATATTTTTATAAGACATGTAATTACAAAAAATAATTTACAATCTGTTTAAATATATTAAAAATTCCATTTTAAATACTAAATAATAATTTTATAGTTTATAAATAATAATTCGTTTAATCATACAGTTATTGAGAATACGAAATTGTAAATAATAATGATTACACGGGTATTTAAAACATAATATAATTTATTGTTTATTTATTATTGTTCAGAGTAAAATTGTATCATTTATTAAAAATTATTGTACAGTATATGTACAATTGTTATATTAAATGAGTTCCACTAAGTACTATTTGTATATAAAATTTGATAGACAAACTTCATGTATGTCTTTCCTTATTATCTATAAATAATAAAATAATAGTCTCAGTGAGATTAAAAGATTTTTCTTGAAATCTAATATTTCAAAACATAAAATATTCTAAATTCAATATTTGAGGTATATTACATATTACAAATTAAAAACTGCAATTATTTTTAAATAATTAAACAATTTAAATTTTAGTTTTTACAATGCTTTAATTTACTATTTTATGCTCTAAAATTGTTTCGAAAATTCATCGTTTAAATAAATAATATTATTTAGTATATCCACGTAATATATTTTCTTTAAGTTGTTTTGTTTATTAATAGAATTTTTCGCTTGAAGGACCAAGCTCATCTGTCAAAATTAAGTATAATAAATTTCTGAAAACAAATTTTTATGGCAGGTTACAATGTTTTTGGATAATATTTTTAATAAATAATACAACAAATTAAATTTTGTAAATAAACGAAATAGAATTTTTATTCTATTTTAGGTCAATACTATCTGTCAATGAGTATTACAAATCCTGTCATAATCAGTACTTCAGTACAAATTAAATAATAAAGAGGATAAGTTACAAACTGAAAATAAATATTCTTCACATAAAAAATGAGAATTTATATCAATTTAGAAATAATTAAAAGTACCATGTAGTAAATCTAGAATTGATTTTATTTATATATTTTAATTACAGTATTTCAAAGTTATAAAGAAATTAAATATAAAATTAAAAAATACATTTGAGTAATCATTTGGTTTAAAATAATTCCACTTCTATTCTTATCAAAATAAAAAAATATAGAAATATTTATTTAAGAAGATATTTTACATAGATTAATTGATGACCTGTTCAATTAAGCAAATTATTATAAAGTTTTAAATTTTATTTAAAAAATTTAATTAGAAATCAAATTTTTCAAAAAAAGTATCTATAAATCAGTAGCCATAATTATATATCCATATATAATATGATCTACAAATTAGTATATCATATTATATATCGATAGAAAATTATGGCTACATATCATTCAAGCATATGAATAAATAGTACACAAATAAAACAAATATCATTTACAAATTTCAATGTAAATTTACAGTCAACTAAAAAATGTGAAAAAATACGTTACCTGATAATCGAAATATGAATATAATAGTGAATAATTATAGTAAACGTAAATAATAATAAAAATTATTATTATATGCAATTACATATTTATCGACATTCATATTTATCGACAAATTTTGTGCAATATCTTTTAGAATAAACTTATATTTTATAAGAAAAAGTTTTGTTGTTCCATAAAATAAATTTCTCTTTCAGTTATTTATTTCTTACATTTTATACGTTTATATAATTAAGTTAGTTTTTAATTATAATCTATTTTCATTCAAATGAAATTGTATCTTAAGTAGAAATTTATTAAAAATCGAATGCAAATTATATATATTTAATTATTTTATCGAAAAAGGTAAATAGTTTAATTTTATTAGTTTGAACTCAAACTAAAACATTATTTATTAAAAAATTAATTTATATTTTATTCGAATTTTTATCTACGAATTTTAAATCTTTCATAACAAATGTTATTTACGTAATATTTTTATGTAGATACATATAGTTTATTAACACAAGTAATAAAACAACACGTGAAAAAGAGCAATTTCTAATTTTATTTTTCTTACAAATCATTATATAAACATTTCATTTATAATTTATTATGCAAATAATTAATTTGCAAATATAAAATGTAAATTATAGTACGATTATAAAAGAAAGATGTAATTTTAATTTAATTATTCTTAATATATATCTCGAGATAAAATCAAACTACAATTTTATTTCATTTATTGAACAAACTGTTTTCTTATGTTTTTAGTAAGTGAACATATTTATTTTAATCCTATTAAATGGCAAAAGTAAAATTTCAAACAGTATTAAGGCAATAAATGCTATTAAGAAATTGAAGTCAACATTAACGAGATTTAAATTTTGGATTTAAATTCCAAAGTACATAGATTTCGAAATTAGTTAATTATAAATCGATATAAATATAAAAATAATATATTTCTAATATAAAAAAATATATTTCTAAATATACAAAAAATATATTTCTAAATATACAAAAATATATTTCTAAATTCTAAAAAAAAGTGAGTAAAAATAATAAAAATAAAATCCTATAAATATATCAAATATTTGAATTGACAATTTTTAGTAATAAAAATAATAAAAACAATGTGTAAACAAATAGAGAAAAGATGAAGAAGGCTAAAATTTAATTTAAAAAATACAAGATTTTTTTAATACATGTTTAAAACGGATGTATATGTACGGATGTATTATAAATATTTTATTTCAATATTTAAACTGAAATTTGTTAACAATAAGCTTAAAAGAAAAAACTTATCAGTAAACACGCCTTCAAACACTGGATAATAAATATAGTAAATATATTTGTATATATTATATTAAATTTCATATTGGCTACACATTATTGATAACGTTACATTTATAAATATTGTTTAACACTGTTTCTATGAGTACATTCATATACCCTGAAATAGTGTTCTAGTATAAATCTTAAAGTAATAGAAAATGCGTTTTATTATGTATATTTATAATAAATAAAACATGTTATAGCTTCAACAAAGTTAAATGAATTTGTTAAATAATCATAAAATTTTATGCATATTAAAATATAACAAAATAATAAGCATATTTTTATCTAAAATTCTTCTATCATTGCTGTACGGAAAGATGGAACTAAATTAATTCTGAAACATTCCATATACTATAATATATAGTATAACATAATAATAGTATAACATTATAAATTGATATTAATATAAAAAAATACATTTTATTTTATTTATAAAATAATAAAATAAAAAATATGTCTTCTATCGTTATATATTAAAAATAATGTAGACAGTTACTAAAAAATTATATGATCTTTTATCTTCCTGAGAAACATAAAAATGAAAATTTTAAATTTCATTTTACAAATACGATTCATCTTTGGTAATATTTCAAGTTATATAAATAGTGTTAAATTATTATTTACTAAATTATCTTGTAAAATTATCTTAAAAATTAATCTTCCAACATTTTTCAATAAAAAAGTTTATTACTTGAATAAATTAAGAGTCTAATAAATTTAATAATAAAAACAACAATAAGAAAGTTGTAAATAAACTTTTGATAATATAAATAAATAATGACTATGCCGAATAATATTAAGAAGATTTTTTTATATATTTTAACTTAATGTTAATAAATAAAAACTTTAAATTAGCAATAATTAAATTAATGTTCTAAATGTGTTAACAACGAATACTAAGTTTCTAAGATATAATTTGTATGTAAAAATACAATTATTCAGAAACGAGTGAATTAAGGATTGGTTCATTCAAGTATTATAACAGTTTCTGAAATAACATTAGATTCACAGAGATGTTTCTTTAACATTTATTATATTACAACATTCTGGTGATATTAACATTATATTAATATGGATCAATATGTATTATGTCTGTAACTAATAATGAGTTAAAGTAAATATGCATTTACATAGTATTAAACTCTATATTTCCAGAAGTTTTTTTCAACAAATTTTTGTTAACAATTGCTAAAAAATTTCTATATATAAGCTACAATAATTATAAACATGCATATTTTGCAGAAGTAATTTATAAAAAATTTAATAATAATAAAATACACCCTCACAGTTACTAATTTTTAAATCTTTTATATATTTACTTACTTTTGCTTTATAGCCCTTAAATAGTTAATGAGCATATTATTCTTTCTTTACATTGGATATTTAAATTTTTATTATAATCCTAGATACATGTATTAGAAATCATTCATAATGGAATTTGTAAATATTAATGTGCGATTTTCTTTCTGTGAAGACTCTATAAGCCAACAAAGGAAAATTCTCTGTGAGGAAAATTGACAGTCTCATTAGAGCATTGAAAAACGTTCTGCAATACTTTGACCACCAATACGTAGGTGGCATAAGATATTTATGTACCAATAGTTGCAGATTTAATATAAATCTGCTGTATGAAGACATTGTCGACGTGTCTGTAAAACGATAATTGTGTTAAATATTTAATTTCTTAGAAAATAATATTGAAAATTAAAATTTTTATTCTCACTTTATATTTACACGGTTAACTTAATTAATTTTATTTTCAATTATTTTTTAATAACTTAAAGTATAAATATTTTTCATATATTCAATCATAATCAGAAATATTTATTTACATTAGTTTAATTTTGTTTTAATTGAAATGATATAAATAATTAAATAATTATTATAAATCATTCAATTAATATAATCAAAAAAATTAATAAGATTTAAATCTTAATCTTTTTTATATGCTATATCAATCATTTCATAATAAAGAATTCTAAAGTTTCGGAGATTAAGAGTTCAAAGTATAATGGGCATTATATACATATTACCGATGACAACAGAATGATTATTGTTAGTTGCCGATGAAACTGCAAGATGAAAAGTGAATGCAGTAAAAGCTTTTGGATCTAAGTAAGGATTTACTGGCCAGAGACCCTCTATAAGTATGCGGCCCATTAAGTCGAATTTTTTATTCTTTGTTGAAAAATAAGGCAGAAAGACATCATCAAGAAGTCGCCTACAAAGGGCTTGACACTCTATACTGCTTCCATTACACAAATTATATCTATAAAAATTAATTTTCCTAATATTAATGTAAATATATATATATATATATATATATATACATACATTCGTACATATAGAAAGTCTCTAAGCAAATTTACACACATAAAAGTTCCTTAATTGTTAAAATACATAAAACATATATTAAAAAATGTTAATATTATCATTTCGTAAAAATTATTACAATTATAAGTATAACATTTCCTTTTGATATATATGAAATTGATATATTTGATAATATACTAAACGTTCAACTTATTTATAACATTTAGTTATCAAAAATAACAAATATACTAAGTTTATATTAATATAAACTTATAGTAGTAAACTTATTTAAATTTGTATTTACTTAGTTAATGTTCTATTTACCTTTGGATTTTAACAATTTCAGAAATTAATTTAATTATTATTACATAGAATTACATTGTAAATAATAAAAATAATTTTTTTATAATTTGACTCATTTAACAGTAATAATTATATTTCATATTAATATATTTATTATTAATATAAATACATTTATATTTATTAACATTAAGATATATTTCATATTTTACATACTTTATGACTTGTCGTATGAAATTCTAAAAAAATTGCAAATTGTTACAATCGTTATTTTTACTGATGTCAATATATTATTCTAATTAACAATTGAAGTAAATATATTGTACGTTCAAAAAGTTATTAAAATATTTTAATTATGTGTTAAATAATGTCTGTAATTAAACGACTTAAAAAATTATTTAAATTGTATTAAATTTTTACAAGTCTTGTGGATTTTTAAATTTTTTATGTTACCAAGTGAACATTATACTCCACAAAAAGAAAAAAAGAAGAATTTAGTAAGAAGTAGGCTTACTTGTCTTCCATTCCCAACACATAACCAATCACCCGCCAGAAATGTACCAATCCATTGAGCTCATCGATAGTTGCGACGACACCAAGTTGATCACCACTAAGGAGGGTGAAACCGACAAACCCGAACTGCGTAAGAGCCATGTCTAGTTGGGATATTCTACGCAACCCGGCCTGAGAACTACGTTGCGATATAATACAGTGTTTCTTGCGGACGTTATGTAGTGACTTAAAAAATCTGCACAGGAATAATATAGAATGATAGGCTAACAATTTATGTTATGCACAAATTTATGTTTTATCAAGCGTTACATATCGACGGAATTTTATTATTTAAAAAGTATATGAAGCAAATTTCACGTGTATCGAACTCTTGATGCATATTGATGCTATTATTAATAGATTGAGAAGGATTTATTTCAGTTACCATAAACTTCAGAATAAATTAAAATACATTATTTCTTAATTAATATTTATTTAACTAAATTACAGATATACAAAATTTACAAAATTCCAAGATACTAAAACTAATTTAGAGATTCCTGAATTGTAATGGTTAAGAAGAATTTTTATGGAATCTTATGTATCAGAATTTTAATGCAGTTAATAAACTCTTACAAACTTTAAAAAATATATTTAATTAGATAATAACAATTTTTAATGAATACAAAAATAAATATGATCCAAATAGGATAATAAATATTTACTTATGCTTTGTTGCTACATTTATGTAGAAGTTCTTTAGCAAGTAAGAGATTTCAGAAGCCAAAATAATATATATCTATACCTTTTCACACCTTTTGACACAGCATCGATTCTTTTGAAAATTGAAAACTATTTGAGTATTTAAATCTTACGTGTGATTTTTAAATTTATTAAGCAGTGGAAACATAATTATTATGTTTTTCATCATTATTTTTTATCAATATTTTTTATTATAATATTTATTTTTATATAGCTTTATATTTTTATATAGTGGAAACATAATTATTATGTTTTTCATCATTATTTTTTATCAATATTTTTTATTATAATATTTATTTTTATATAGCTTTAGTTGATCAAAAGTACAAAGGTGTAAAACAATAGTAAAAGTTAAAGCGTATCATCTTACCAAAAAATATCTCTACATAAAGCTTGTATCTTTTATTTGTGTCACACATTACTCAAATCGTGTCCGAATTATAAATAATAATGATTTTTATTTAGATACTTACTCGGCTTGCTTAAGGGGATCCTTATCATACCAAACAAAGGTATGAAGTATTGTAGATACGTATCTACGAAATGCCGTACAGGGTGTGCCGCTCTGCTTGGTGAAGATGAGAATGTCAAGAATTGAAGGTACTGCAAGTAGAGTGAGAAGTCCAGAGAGTTTAGCAATCATCATCGTAAAGATATTATTTTGGAAAATTAGTTGCCCAAGACGAAACATTTTTGGGTCGAAATAGTCGGGCAGTTTAAGAGTCTCAACATCACTGTCCGCCGGAGTATTGGCTCCTTCCTTTAGCAATACCTCGAATCTTTCATCTACTACTGTAATACGCATTTCAGTTATCTTACTCAAATGATTTATTGAAAATATTATTAATTAAAATTGGAACCGATCTTTAAAATCACATACTTAATTAAAAAACTAGATCTGTTTATTTTTCTTGTACATGAATATTGATACTCGAATATTGATGCAAATTAAAAGAGACTGGTTTAATATAAAATAAACGACTGCAACTACTGAATGGCAGTTACTGTACCTTTAATGCTAATAATGTTAAATAGTTTTACTATCGTAAGTACTATTATATAGTAAAACAAAAATAAGAAGGAACATAAGGTTTAAGTGAATTAGTTAAATCTTTTCAATTGTCAAATAAAAGTCGTTTAGAAATATAGAAAATATTGGTAATCGAATATAATAGAAGTTATAATTATATAGTTTATAGTAATATTATAGTTCCATTTATTTCTTCAAAAACAGTTATTCATAATCAAATTGTCGTGCTTGTTGTCTATTTGCATTAGTGCTCATATCGCTGTCAATGTTTATGCATCGCGACTCTCGATACCTAAATATTTTATAACGTTCTATTTTTTGGCTATATTTTTATCTTTTTGAACATTGTTTAAGAACACATAGTTTAACACAGATCATAAGCGTATCTCTAGTTAAAGTTTCTAAATCTCTAGAGCCTCAGCTGTTATAATAAACGTTTAACTGTTTATAAGAACCCGGTTTCTTATAATACATGTATTCTTGTAGCTATATCCAGCTCTTACCTAATAATGAAAAACACGAATCAAGAAAAATAAGAAAAAATCGCATGTAACTAAAAAAAATGAAATTTACATATTGGGTACTGTTGTCAATACCAATTCCATTTTATTATGTCCACTATCAGTTGACTTGAAGAAGCAAATAATATAGAGAAAACGATGTCTGTCAGGTGCTTCAATTTTAACAAGATAGAATATTTCCTAAATAAATCAGTTTTCAGAGTGCATGTCGTAAATAACTGTCCTTGACGTGGATCAAGACATTCTTACGGCTAGATGTCTACCTCATGTACTCTAGACACAAAGACCTTGACTTCCTTATCGTAAGAAGCAATTTATACGAATAGAGAGCACAAAGAACAATGATCACAATAGAAGTGAGAGCACATTACGAAAGACCGCAGAATAAGTAGAAAGAAAGAAAGTGAGCATCCGAACATAAAAGTAAGCCGAGGTCAGAAGGGATACTAAAGATCGGCATACCTAGCATTTTCTTTGGAGCTCAAGGACGTACGAAATCTATAATTTTATTAGAGTAAGGTATTTGGTTTATTATTTTTATCATCCTTTCATTATGTAACTAACCACTTTGGGATCTTAATGAGAAAACTATGATAAGTTAAAAATGTTCAATCATGCTTTTTTCTTGAGAGTGTGTATTTTTTAGAAACGATATTTTACTAATTTACCCGTATTTCAGTTTGAAGCAATCCACAAAAAAAATTATATTATGATACAAAAATTCACCATTTCTTCACATTTATTTTGTAATTATCTCATAACGTTCTGTCAATAATAAATGAGTTAATTTCTTATTACACATAATTAATACAGTGCCATTACATGTATATATTTTCTTTCTGTTATTTTTATTATCTTCTGGGAACACTATTTTTATAAATAAAATGATCAATATATATAGAAAATTTTTGAAAATCAATTAAAATTATACAAAAATAAAAATATATACTGGTTTAAATTAATTTAATTTTCTTTATATAAATAAATATTATCTTATTTTAAGATTTAGAAGAAGGTTTTAATAAATATTTCAATAAACATTATTAAGTGTATTTATTTCAGATAGTGTTTTTTTAATATAAATTATTAACTAGAATATTTATCTTTAATTACCATTTAAAACTAGAGTGGTTAATGTTAAAAACAGACTTTTCATATTCGAAATATTTATAAATTACGTTCCACATAATACTGTGGCATACTGATCAAGCAAAGCGTAATTACAACAAAGCAATAAAAATAATCGTATACACAAAATAATGACTCAAAAACATTTAACATTTTCATTATTGTTCTTAAATCGATATTGTAGTATTTAACACATGAGGATATCTGATTCTAGCACATGAAATGTTATTTCACATGTCAGTATAAGGCTTTCAAATTAAGAAAGAGAACTCGTGGTATAGTTTTCAACACCCTAATGATATGGTTAGTTATATGAACTAGTAATTGATACCGTTGTTACAGCGTTTTCATCTCTATTTTTTTTCTTCTCTTTACCTTTTGGCATATCAGAATCTAATTTAAGTAAACTTTAGCAAAATTGACAACATTCGCTGCAAATTATTTCAACGGTTATAGTTGCTTATAACTAACGCTATCATCTTGCCTATCCACGGATCTATCTATCTGTTGATTTTATAGCTTAAATTTTTTACTTCACGCATTTTTATTGTAATAAAACAATATCGGAAACCAGTCTTTTCGAAACATACTTCTAATTTAAGAGTTGCAAAAAATTTTATTCATTGAATCAAGCAATTATATTATCATTATTCAGTTATCGCAATTATTATTCAGTAGATTTTTACTTCAGTATTTGCACTCTTTTAAAGCAGTGAGATTCCCCGTACACGATAGAAAGGAGAATGATTGAATAAATAAAAGTCATAACACTTTATTTTTATTTCAATCTTTATAAGCACTTCCATGTGAAAAAAGACACATAAAATGAAATCGATTTATAACAAAAAATAAATAAAAATCTCACCGTGGTTAGTGCCCTTGCCCCCGGGTTGTTGATAATCTTCCAAGTTAGAAAGCGCCATGTCAGAAACTGCACGGGTTTATCGATACTTCAAAAATGCATACGACATGATCTGTCCCACTCTCAGCTCGTATCTGCAACAACCACACGATCTCATAGTCTTCTTACAAGCATTGCCGTGATCGCCTGCAGAGAAAGGCTACAACTGTTGATTCGCCCTTTCGGGGTCAAAGCCTCTGATTGGTGTAGGCCAAAAGAAGGAAAACGGGTTTTCCAGCAAATGATACACGTAAAAGCGCCTCGTTGTCAAGAAATCATTGTCTATTTAGTGTTTACCTGAAGCGCATACTTAATTACCGATAACTACTTGCTTTGGTCCTTCTTGTTTTGTTTCCATTCAAATATCGCTTATTTACATTTATGTTTCTCGAAAAATAATTTCCAATATAGGTATTTATGGATATTTAGAATTATTTGATGAAAAAAACCGATAACTAGAAAAGTTGATAATTTTTCTGATTACACAAAAATATGTGGACGAGTTTTAAATAGCCAACGGATTTTGCAGTGTTTCACGGAATCATTCTTACAACTATCAAATTGTAACTACTCCTTTTTACATAGTGCGTCTACTTTTACTCTGACCCCACTTTTCTTTTCAGCAGTACCACTACTGACTCCTCTATTCCCAGAGAAGCATACACTCGATTTCACTCACTCGTAATACACACGATTTCGTATTCCCGGCGAAAGCGAGAGTATCTTAATACGCTGGGATACGCAAACAGAGAAAGTTCTGCGCCCGGTGAAAGTGCGTCCCGTATCTATTCAGCAGTAATATTCCCATAAACAAATATGCACTAATGAGGGCTCAAATGAACAGAAAAGCATCGTTCTTGAAGCAACTTAAAACCGAAAATGTCTAACCTCTTCTTTTATTACCAAGATTAAAGAGTTAATCCACCGAAATGAATACCGTTATTTTTTCTTGGTGTTGCTTTATATGTTATCGATCACTATTTCCATCCCATTCTGGAGTTTGTAGATCTTGACTTACATGCAACTTGATCATGATTATATATTTTAACAACACGCGCAACGAAAAATAAAAAATGGTAATTGCGTCAATTTTCCATTTAATTTCTGTTTTTACTTCAATTATATTAGCAAATGATATCGAATATAACTTTTACACTATGTCCAATATTTCATAATTTTAAGTTCTGTTTAATGAATTTGTCCGACTTAATTATTTTTTAAATATTTAGAAATTATGCGCAATTCGAAAAATTCGCATTATAGATTTTAACTAATAAAGAGATTACCAAAAAAATTTTTGTACGCTTAAAATGCTAGTAAATGTATTATAAACACGAACATAGAAAATTCTATATTACAATTAACCAATAAAAAAAGAATATTATAATTCATACATGATAATCTTTTAAATAATTAAAGTTATCTCAAAATAATATACATCACGATGAAATTATTTTTATAATTATTTATTTATAAATTTATCGCAAAGGGTTCCACAAACATTCAATACATTTACTTGATTATTTAAATTAATATATCAGACTAAAATATAGTTCAAAATTGGATTATTTATCTACCATTGCAACTGCACTAGTTAGTTCAAATTTCAAAATTTAATTAATAAACGGTCATGATGTATAGCTGAAGTATATTTTGTATATATTTCTATTTCTTCTAATCATAAATACGCAAATTGAAGTTCTAAATATTAATTCGTTACAGAGATACCAGCAATATTCTTTCATTTTTAGATATATTTAAAAGACACCGTTTTATAAACAATTGTTTTGAAAAATTATATGTGCTTACATTTTTCATAGATATTCATTATGAATATTTAAAAAATTGTCATTTGCACGAAATATAATACAAGTATTGAAATTGAATTTTTTATAAATATATTTAAAAATAATTTTGTATTCTTAAATACAGCTAATTATCACATAAGCAATGTTGCATCAAACGTATTACTGTACTGTTTTGCATATTATTTATGTAAAATGACTATTTTTCTATAAATTTATTTTTAAAACGTCCCAAATTAATGTATTTACATTTTTGTTTTTATTTAATCGTATTAGTTTACCAAATATTTTAAAAATCAATATATATGTCAGAATTTTATTATCATAATGTTTATTCATGTGCTGAAGAAAATTTTTAAATATAAAAACCATCAAATATGAAACAGATATTAGATTATTTCACTAACACAGTTTTTAATGAATATAATGCAAATTTTATAAAATACTGATTTCATTTTCTGAAAGTAAATTAAAGTTTGGTATTTGAAATTTATCTATTATTTTATGAAACCTTTAAAACAATGAATTATTGTTATAGTTGCATATGTTCAGTTCAGTCGTTTCAGTACATTGATACAAAAAGTTTCACTTCAAAATTGATTTCGCTTTCCTACTAATTTTTAATTATATTTTAAATATTTATATTTTTTGATATAGCGAACAAGTAACACATTTTTATTATTCAATTATTTAATATGAATAAAAGTGAAGATAAAAATGAATGAACTTAAAAATAAAAATCATACGATTTTGTGACAATGTAAAAACTAAATACTATGCTATATTAGTATATAAATTTTAATATATTACATGATTACTGTACTTATATCTAGATTGTAGTATTAAACAAATTATTTGATAACTAAAAAATGTTTTATATATTCATAAAAATTATATACAACAAAAATACATCAATTTATAATAAATTACATTTTAACTTATATTAAGATAAAAATGTTTTATTTCAATAAAGATTTGTTCAGATGTATTAATAATTTTAATTTACTACTTGTATAATAAGCTACTTATAATTGTTAACGGTAGTTTATTTCGAAAATGTTATTGAATATCATCAGTCATCCATGAATAATGAAAGATAAAATATCTTTATACAAAAATTTATTTATTTCTTAATATATTACTCTTAATATTTTAACAGTAATATTTCTTTTAATGTTTCAAAATAACATATAATAATAAATAAGTTTTTAACAAATTCTATAAAAATGTCAATTTATTCAAAATATAAGATTAAAATGGAAAAATTAACAATATTTTACAATTAAATAAAATATAAATACATTTGAAATTCACAGAGAACAAAATGAGAAAATTACAATGATACCAATTTTGACTTTCAATTAAAATTTGTATAAAGAAAAATATAAATAATCGTATGTAGTTAAGATTCTTTATTTTAAAATATTTATAAACGATTGGTTAAGTATCTAAAATTAATTCAGTTTGCGATTTCGAACAAAAGATAGCAAAATCAGCTAAGTCAAAGGATAATTGCTATTAGTTATATATATATAGGCAAGTTTTTATATATGTATGTATGCTTATATGACACCGTGCATAAATATGCGTGCTTGCATGCATGAATATAGAGGTATCAGATTGTGAACGTTTCAAATAAAATCTTATTAATAGCAATTATTATTAATTATAGTAATAATTATATTAATAATAATGTACAGCAGTGTTAATACTGAATGCATAGTATTTTAACAATAATAACTGAAGTATAGAAAGAATTTTCATTGCACCTTGTAGTCATTCAGAGATCAGCATGTAAATGCTTTACAATTCCTTATACTATGTATTAGTATAGAATATATAATATATCATCCTGTCATTAACAATATATATTTATGTTACAAAATATATATGTTCAATTTTATATGACTTTTGTAGAAATCGCATTTATCATTAGCGGATTTTTTGGTTTTTCTCTTACATATAATAATCATCAAATAATATTTAACTTTCTTTGGACCTCATAATTTACCCCATTTTCCAATTTATTAATGAATTTTGAACAATGTTACATGATGCGAAATAGTATACGTGTAATTCAAATAATTATAAGAAATATTCAATTAAATACACTTACACTTTTACTTATTTGTAGTTAATACTTTGTTTTTAGTAACGAATTAACATTGTTTACCATTTTTATTAATCTCACTACATTTCATAAAAATAATGATACACGGTATTTGTATATAATATTGGATTTTCAAACATATTTTATAATTTTCAAGATTAATTAAAGTAAATAAAAAAATTATATATGTATTATTTTTAATAATCATTCAAATATTAAATTTAAACATTCCTTTTTTTATTTAATAATTTAATCATTAATTTATTGTATTTAATAATATTTCTTATTATTATTAGCATAGCGGATAACAAAAATTAAATAATGACTACTGTCACACACGTACTTTTTGCTATTTCTAAACCTATATATGATATTTAGTACAAAAAATTATTAAAATCTGTATCTTGCAGTTTTTTTTCTACTATAATTTATTTATAAATTTATTTTCCAAAAAAATTATCACTTTAATCCTATACGTTATATAGATCCTATATATTATAATATTTAATATTAAAACGTTTTAATTTTGGTCATTGGAATACACAACGAAACTACTTAATGTATTTCCCACCGATTTCACTTATTTTATATTTTACTCTTAAAGTAAATAAAAACATAAGCTTTTTATTTATGTTGTAATTTTCAAGTTTAAATTACTAAAATCCCTCGATATTACTTTCGTTTACGTATATAATTACAATTACTTAATAAATTCATTAATTGATATATAATTATGTTTAAATTAAGAAATTAATAAAATATTGTAATTTAAATTATCTTAAGAGAAGAATGGCTAGTGAGCTTAGACATTGAAAACGATTTTTAATTTTTTTGACTATACAAATTTATGCAAATACGTCATTAATCATTTAATCATAAAATGCATGAAATCAAACAAATTTACCATGGTTACTTTTTTGACCATTACTTTATGATACAAAAGACTCACTATTCAATGATTTTATAAATTTAAATAAACATTTGCTATTATCAATAATTTACCTCTATGATTTTAAATTACTTAACTAATTGATGATCTTTTGTGATTACCATGAACAAATTTGTCAAATTTTGAGAAATAGACAAGATTGAGATAATTAAATTTCATTTAATAATACTTTAATTTAATAATAGTTTTATAAATATTTAATTTATGTAAAAGAATTTTGCAAACTCTAATGAACAAATACTTATAGTTTTATAGCAATATTCGGCTGATTTGAATATACTGGGACAAATCCTATTATTTACAACTACTACTTTCTAGGCAATAGGAATAAAAATTAAGGTAAGCAATTGTTTTCCTGATATTAGTATAACAATTTTTTCTTGTGTTTCTTGTATAAAGGATTAAAACAAAATTTCTGATCAATATAGAGTAATGCAAAAGTAGTATAAAGATATAAGTCGCACAAGTAATTTGTAATAAATTGAATAGTTGACACAATAATTGCAAACTGATAAGAAAAGTTAATGCTTCGTAAATATAGTGAGATATAACGAACACTTGAAGAAGAGATATATATAAACCCTTTTGGTTAATTAATTATATTTAATCCAGCATAAATGTATAGTATACGTAATATTCATAAACTATATAAAAAAATTAAACAAAACAAATTTACAAAATAATGAAATGGTGTTTCCTATTTAAGATATAGAAAAATACGTAAATACATAAAATAATCCTCGGATAAAGTTCTCAAAAACTTAAGCATAAAATTAAAAATAGCGTTTATTTAAAAATTATAGTCTATAAAATTCAAATTTTTATTTTTAATAGATAATATATCTGCAATTATTTTATTTAAAACAATAAAAAGAGTATGCTAAATTAGAGTATATAAAAATTATTAAAATTATTTTATGATTCAACTTTATATTAAATTTTATTTATTAATCTATTGTTGTCGTCTTATAGATATTTTATACTGTCATATATCAAATATCGAAAGAACCTTAAAAGTTAATAGTGGATATACTTTAAAAATAAAAATTCTATTATTGTATTGTAATTTGAATTTTATACAGCTTTAAACTGTAAAATAATCAATGGTTGCGAAATATCACTTTGTTTATAATTTATAATTTATTTTTAAGGTTCAATTATTTTCCACCTCTGATTTTTCTAGTTGTGTTATTAATACTTTATAAGGATATGAAATATGACAGTAATATAAATACATACAGAATTTTCATAAGTCGATAAGTCTCAAAAAATATTGTATTCAATCTTGTTTAATAACATATTTTTAAGATTGGAGTCCTTCATAAAAACACTTTCATAGTAAGTTTGAAAAAATAAATAATAAACCATTAAAATGTATTTTAAATTTTAATTTTACGCCTTTAATCGCAAAAAAAACTTTTTTGCATTTAATGGTGTTATAGTTGTAAAAATAATATTCTTGATATACTAAATAATTATTTTTAAGTGCTGTATCAATAAACTGAAAATGTTTTCTTAAATTGCAAATCTAAAATATGTCTTTTACCATATATTTTTTAAAATTTATGAATAATTGGATATAATCACAAATTTATTGATTAATTTCTTATAAAAGATTTTTATATTTATTTTAATGAGATAACTATTGCAATAAAAAAAATTGTTACAGTAAACATAAAAGTATCCTAATATGCATGATACATGTATATTAAGAATCGATTACTATCTTTATCTATTTACTTTTCTCCAATTCAATAAATAGATGAATTACTCAATATTTTACGTTTTATTACTTTCTATTATTTTTAAAGACCTAAAACTCCTAATTCTTATATAAATATTTTCCTCCTACACGCATTCCTATAATTTTAGTCTATTAATGAGCGCTTTTGATTGTTAATTTTATTCTTTTGAAGTATTTCGTTATGTTAACATTACTTATCTAGTTGTTATTCACCATGATTGTGAAATTATTATTTTTAAGTCACAATAGTTCTTAGCATTCGTAAGAAATCACTTAGTTACAGATAAAACTATATATATGTTTTTTATTTTGTATTCAGTTACTTGTCCCTTGTCCTTATAGTTGATATGAATTTATATCATATTGTTATTAATATTAAACCATTTTTTCTTATGTTGAAATAATTTAATAAATCTTCGTTTTATCTTTTGTATCAAGTTAATATTTTGATAAATTAACGATTATTTAATTTAATTATTTTTTAATAGATAGAATAAAGTTTTGACAAACTAATCAAAGAAAATAATACATTGATGTTTGAAAATATCTGCCTTCAAAACTTTAAAGCTATGTTTATAAATATACAAAAGAGAGTATGAGATCTTGTAACAATTATTATCCTTTGACATTTGCCGATATTGTTTTTTGTATTATTCTCAACATTTGTGTTGATATTTTACTATTACTTGTATTGTGTTATCTAAATATTTATGTATATAAGCAACTTGAATTCATTTTTTTTATTTGATAGTATACTAAATAATTATAGTTCGTACTAAACGTAGGAACGTCAAAAGGGCGTCCCTACGGAACCATTCTCGTCACATTAAAATTGACGAATTTGTTTTATAGCATACTAGTTTTAAAAAATAGGTTAATATCAGTCCATGGCGTAAGAGTATATGACTTTACCATCTTACTTCAAAAGCAGTGAGAACTGAGTTATTTTTTGTTTTCCTCATTCGTCAAACTTATAGTTTGTATTTTTAATATTTTATTTCCTTAGAGGAAATTTATCAATCGTGTTTCACAGCCTCGCTAGCAAATCTTAAAAATAATCTTCGATTAAATTATATCGAAGATAAATATTACGTCAGTATTTTCGCCGAATTATTTAAAATGTTTATGTCATCTGCAGTTTACTTTTTTACGCACTGTTTTTGCTTCATTTACTTTCACGATTAATTAAATTTAAATTATCTTCTTAATAAGTAAACTTATCTATATACACTGATTTTATTTCGATTATTATCAGCGGGCTGTTAAATGTTTTTCTGTTTTTCTTATGACACACTATAACTAGGCTTATAATAAAAAAACGGCCTTCTTTTCCGTCGAATTTTTACAGTCTTGAATTGTTAGCTGTGCAATTTCATTTGTTACTACTTCTGTTGAATTCATAGTCGTCGTTGCAATCTTTGTAACGTCCGATTTTTTTAGAATCGTATACCCTGAAATTTTTTATTTAATTTAAAATGGAGTAATTGAGTCATGTAGTCTTAAGAAATGGAATTAAATATATTAATTAAATAAATATATAAAGACTTTTAAATATCAAAAGATTTAAATACTGTTATTGATGTACTAATACTTACATGCATGATGTGCATATATATACGAATATATTAATACTACAAATTTTTATGTTTTAGAAATTTTTATACAAACCTTGAGTAATTTCTTCTTGTTCATTCAGGGATATTTTGGCATTTACTTTAAGTTGTCCATTGGATTTTTGTTTTTTTCCAGTTCCATCATCTCCAATTAAGTGATTTCCTTGGTGAATTTTAAATACACTTTTGATAATGCTATTAACTGTAGACTGAGCTCGTCTTTGACTATCTGATGGTTTATGCTTAACTCTAACATTCCACCCCTCATCTAGTTCTGTCAAGTTATGTTGTATTCCTTTCAAATGTTCATCTGTGTTTCTATCTTGAAACCATTCAACTTTGTTTGAATTTATTTGATCAAAATTAATTTTAATACCATTTTTTGTTCCTTTTATATCTTTCGTCCAAACCTACATAGTAAAATAATATAAATAATCAAATATAATAAGCATTTATAGCAAGATTTAGAAATTGAAATAAAATACTATATCCTATCATTTTATTAGCTATCGAGAGCAATTAAATTTTGTATTATTATTATTAACAAATAGTAGTGTGTATAAAATAAAATTTTACCTTAACATCATTAGCACAAGACTTATTTCTCTTTAAAACAGTTTTTACTGGCCTTTGTTTTTCATTATGATGATGACATACCTCTTTCAATTCTCGAATAAGAGATTCACTACATAATGTTGGATCTACAACATTTAAAGTCTTAGTTTCTTGAATATATTCTATCATGTCTTTTGTTTCTTTTGGAGAAGCAATATAATTTAAGGCCTCCGCTTCTTTAGAGGTAATTTCATCTATTGTTTCTGAATGATTTTTATTTTTCGAATTATCTTCATCAAGATCTGTTATTTGAACTTTACAAGCTTCATAATTTTCATCTATATTTTTCTCTAAGCTTTTAACATTTTTCTCTGCAGAACACTGAGATACATTATGTTTATTTTGTAATACTGGATCTCGCTGAAGAACCTAATAAATAGAAATTTTTTACGTAAAATTAATAAAAATCTACTAATTATTCAATTAAAAAATTACAATAATACATAGTAAGTATTATACACCAAACAAGCATACATAATAAAATATGTGTACTATCTAATTTAAATAAAGTAAAAGTTGTTAAAAATAAATTTAAAAATTTTGAAACTACTCCAATGCTTGTTAATAAAATATTGTAGATACAGTATTTTAAATTTAATTTTAAATATTGCCAAGTTAATAAAAATCTACATATTTCAATATTCCGTAAGTACTTTGTGATTACTTCATTTTACATATTTTACATAAAATATTTTTTAATGTTTCACTTTAAATGATAAAAATTATAAATAATATATTATCAAGCATATAACAATAGACAATAGTATAATACTTTTAATAATAAAATTTATGTTTTGTTAGTTTGAGTGATTACTTTCAATATCTTTTATAATTGAAATTGTCATTTATTTTGTTATTATTCTATTTAGTTTTACATATTATTATTTTCAGTTATAACTCATTTTTAACATCTAGATTATTTATGTATATTACTGCTTAAATAAAGCTAATTGAAAAAAATTTTTAAATACTAAATTTAATTAAACTAAATTTAACTAAATTTAAATACTAAAATTAATTTAAATGAGTTTATGAAATGTTTATTAATAATGATATTTTTCATTTTTTCAATTAGATAAGTAATATGTCATTTTGATACAAATAATTGAAAAAATTAATGATTAATTACTAAAAGAATTAATAAAGATATTTATTTTTTAAGTAAGGGCTGTTTTAAAAATTTTATTTGTTAGAATTCTATTAAATTTTTAAAAGACTCCATATATGATACAAATTTTATTACTCATGTATAATTAAATAATTAGTAAATACAGGTAAATTAAAAAATTAATAAAATAATAAATGTAAAAATATAAAAGATAAATTATTACCTTAACTGGAGATTTAGGCTTTACAGCATTATCTGCACTATTGTCTCTAGACAATTGAGTATAAGGACCACCTGTAGAAGTCATCTGTTTTGAATGTGAAGGTGAGTTGTTCTGTCTTTTACAAGAGCTATTTTTGTGCGATCCCGCCACATGTTGAAGTTTAGGTACACTAAAAGCTCGTTTAATGGTTTTTATTGGAGGATTGCCAGCTATATTTAATCCGTGGGTTGGATAATGTGGCATAGGCTGCTGAATGTGACTTGGTTGCAAGTGCATTTGTTCTTGTTGCTGTTGGTGCTGCATCCTATGAACCTCAGCGTGTATTTGATTTTCCATTTGACGCTGTTCTATTCCAGATGACATGTGTTGATGTTGCATTATAAAATAGTCTGAAAAATGGCTGGTGATAATTGGATTCATCTGCAACCAAAAACGGTTTTGTAGTAATATTTACATTATAATATAAAACATAAAAATATTTACAAGATTAGAGGTATTGAAAAATATAAAGAGAAGCTGTAAAATTGAAACAATAATCATTTATTATGTATATTTTAAATAAAAATCAATAAATATATTATATATATATGTCAGAATGTAATTTTTAACTATTTAAAAATAATATTAAAAACAGTGTTAAATAAACATGACTATAATTGCTTTTTTTGCATCTAAAATATCTAGATTATTTAAAATAATTGAATAATCACAATATCATCTTAAATATAATTTAGTTAATATTAAAAAAATTATATTCAAGTCAACTTTAAAAATAGTTTTCTTTAAAATTAGAAATTTTAGGTTTGCCTGCATTGAAATGGAAATTTCTTAAATCATATAAAGATCCTAATTAAAATATAAAAAATTAAATTATTAATATATTAGAACTATTAAACATTTAAAATTCAAATTTCAAATTTATAAAAGAATTCGAATAATCTGTTTCAATATTAAATTTAATATTTCAATAATGTTTCAATATTTAATCTCTTATTTATAGATATGTAAAAATATATATAAATAATATATGTAAAATCAGTATTACAATTATTTCATCATTATTGGGAATATTAAATATTTTTGGTAACAAATTTTAAAGTTATTTCAAAGTTTTTAGAACAGACTACTACATTAGGATATTTGCAACATTTAAGTAAATAAAGCTACATTAACTAATATACATCAATAATAGATTATACTAAAATATTTAATTGTAAGACGATTAACCTCATGAATCAACTTGTTTTCTCTAGATAAATAATTTATTTAATAGAGTATTAACAGTGCACTTCTAATAATTTGTAATTTATCTAATTATTAAAATGCTATTTATAATATTTAAAAAATAATTTTAATAACCTTAATAATTAAATACTCAATAATAAAAAATTATTTTATGAATTTATACTTATTTATATTAAAATCTCGAATCAATCAATTGATTTTATTTTTTAAAATTACATTATAAGATTATTACACTCTTCAAGAAAAATATATAAAAATTAAAGACAATATAAAATATTTATTTTTATTTTTAAAATCATATTCTTAGTTAAACTATTTATAAAATTTAAAGATAATTTTTTTATAATATGGACTTTATTTTTATAATTTAAAACTTAAATATTGTATTAAATAATAAAATTATTATTTTTAATTTATTTATACATCGTAATTTGTTATAAATTATTGAAATTAATTTAATTTGTGCCAATAAAATAATTTACCTGTCCAGTATAGTTTGAATTCACATTAGAACTCATGAAATGCATCATTGGCCTTGGTATTGATTGATAATGGTATTGAGAAGCTGAGTATGCAGGGCAATTTTGCTGTTGCTGTTGGGGAAGAGGTAGTTGTTGTTTAGACACTGATTGTTGAGAAAATGATCTGTCTCGTTCACGATAATTATAGCAATCCAAATCAATACGTGAGCCATTGTTATTATTATAAGGACGGGTTATAATCGAATTGGCTTGGTAAACTTGCTCATTCTGATGTACTGGAACTAGGCCCTGCTGTGAATAGTTGTATCTATCATAGTTCGAACATTCGTTATTGGATACTGAACTGAAAAGTACATTAGATCGATACTGAGGAGGCTGAGACATCAAATAGGAATTCTGTATAATATGCTGAGCTTGTTGAATCTGTTGTTGCTGCTGTTGAATTTGTTGAGGTATTGGTTGTGGTGATTGTTGCAATTGTAATTGTTGCTGTTGTTGCTGCTGTTGGTCTAAATGTTGTGAATATTGTAGAGTAGGTGGCTGACCATCTATCCAAGTTTCTATTTGATTTTCTTGTTTCTGAATCACATTCCATACTTCTTTTAATTCCCCAGTAATATCTCGATCTTTGAGAATAGAATAAATACGACTGAAGATTACTCCTTTGTTTTTGGACTCCACAAAATTTAACAACATTTCTATTAGATTGGATTGATCCTATAATATATTTGACACTATAAAATATCATTTAAGATATATTATATTTATAGGTTCACATCAATTTTCAATGTTAGAATCCATTTCGATGTGTTATAATAAATCAAAAATATTTTTATTCTTGAATCAAGTTGTATAAAATTGTATTGAAAATTTATTATTTTTATATGATACTATTACTATTTAAAGTTTATATTTCTGCAGTTATTAATTAATTAAAATTAAGAAATTTGTTTTACAATTACAATTATCAATTTTATTATTACAATCTAAAAACAATAATGATCTGAATAGTTAATTTATTAAATACATTCTTTTTTTAAATTTAGATTCATTTTTTTTATAAATGAAATATAATATAATAAGTATAATAATAAATAATATTTTAAAACTAACATTCTGGTTTTTAGCATTTTTCCCTCGTATTCTTAAAACCTCAGGGTTAGCAATAACAGCAAACACTCGAGTGTTTTTATCTTGACTTCTTGGAGGATTCAATTCCATTCCTCCCCGCATAGGTATTATTTGAGAAGGATTAGCGGGTAAATTAACTTTTTCCCAAGACAAAATATTGATATAACATGGAATTGGAGAGCCCTAGAATAAAAACTCTAATATTATGTATTCAATATTGTAAAAACAAAAGACAACAAAATAAACAATTGCTTACTGAAATATAATCTTGTATGCACATATGAGGTTGTGGTGGATTCTTAAAGTTCCTGGCAACGTTACGTTTAGACTTCGGCGGCCCGGCCATCATCTTTGAAACAACCTGAAAGGTGTAAATAAATCTTACAACAATATGGTAAAAAGCGATCTAATAAGTCTGTAGACAATAATAAATAAAAATATTTTAATATATGCTCTGTATTACTTTCAAAAATTTTTAATTAAATTTGATAGTTTATAAATAACTATTGTTTTCTCTTTTCTTGCGATGTATTGCATGAATATTGCAACGCGCATAACGTAATATATTAAAAAATAATAATTGTTATGAAAAATTACATAATTTTATAATTAAAAAATTTAAAACACCATGCCTCGTAAATTAAAGAATAATCTTGAAAAGCTACTCCAATTTGTTTTTATTGTTTCTGCAAACAACTACCGTATTGAATTGGAGTATAACCTCCAAGTTTTGTTCACTTACCGTTTTTAAACGTAATAAAATTTGTAGTATAAACACATGCTCATACATCAAGCCAATAATTTAGAAGAATACAAAATAAATAAATATATATATGCAATTATAAAAAAATTATGAACATATTTAAAAAGCTGGATTTTTATAATGGAAATCTAATACTTACCTTTCACAGACTGTTTTTGAAACTAATAAATTAGTCAAAGTCAATAAACGATTTTTTAATAGCCGGTAGGAAGACGACCAAAAACTCGATGATGCATTATTTTCAATGGAAAAAAGGAGTGCGTTTCGTCGATTCTGAAATCCTTCACCTCCTTTTGTTTATTATTTTTCTCTCCGCAGATACGGCGGAGGCTGTAACAACTTGAAAAATAGGTGCAAGAGAGAGAGAGAGAGAGAGAGAGAGAAAGAAGAGCAAGCGAGAGAAGAGAGAAAGAGAGAGAGAGAAGAGAGAAAGAGAGAGAAGAGAGAAATAGTGTGCCTGGGTACGTGTGTATGTAAGACTTAATAGTGCCAAAAAGAGGAGCCGGAAGGAAAAGAAAGAAAGAGAAAGTAATTCTAGTTCAGAGGTGCCCCCTATGAAAATTACAATTTTCTAAGTAGAGGCGTCTTACACAATACCTATGATTACATAATCTATAAATAGCATTAAATTTGCAAATATAAATTTTAGTATTTTCAAAAAATTGTTATTTCCAAAAATAAATAAAAAATTTCTTTGTTACCATTTTTCTATATATTTTTAGCAATTAGTGGTTTTTATAGCATTTCCTGTCGACTGGTATAATAATATTCATTATAGTAAAATTCCCTAGATTTCAAATATAAAATTATATCAGATTCTACGAACAATTAATTGACGATTAAATTGTTTTTACATATCTTTCATTTATTCTTCTTAAATATCATCTAATTTGATTACTGAATTAATAATATTTTTTTTGACAATGACAAATGTAATCATCTTTGGTTTTCTTTCGATTCTGTTTTTATAGTCTAATTATTACTATGATTTATAATAAAATACTTTGATAAAAATGAAATTTATGCAACAGGATTTCTTTCATAATTAAATTAAATATTGAAGTTTTTCAGAATATTTCATAATGATATGTGAAAATTTAATTATTAAATGTTCTGATTATTACAAAAACACATATTGAAACATGCTTAATTTGGTATACTATATTTTTCAGTTTATTGAAAACAAAATTTGTTACGTCAAACTGATATATTATATATATAATATAAAATATTTATTAAAAAGTATTCAAAAATTTTCTTCTAGGTTTATATTGAAATTTTATTATGATTTTAATAATTTATTCACGTTTAAATATAAAAAAAAACATTACTTTTTCATAAATACAATGTAATTTTTGATAAAAATACATGAAAAATATTCCTTTTTACAGTAAAAAAAGTTGAATATTAATAATTAGTAACATTGGTATCTTGTCAATATTGCTTGTATTATTTGCATTTATAAAAGTATTTATAAATCATTTTGAAATATTTTAATAGACTTTATGAATTTTAAAAACTTGTTTAAAACTTGTTTAACTTCGTAGTTAAATTTGTTTAAATCTTTTCTATATTTTTTATTTAACTTATTCAAAATTTTAATACTAAATTCCTAGTAAACATGATATAAATATACATTAAATAATTCAGAAGTAGTAAATTAATATAAAACTTATTAATTATTCAATAGAGAATTTATTCAGTATTCAATAAAGAAATTTAATATTAAAAAGAATCATTTTCTAAAATATATTACAGAAAGTGAAATATGTATGTCAGATTAATATATATATATATATATATATATATATATATATATATTTACGTAATTATAAATTTATATTTTATAGACTTAAAAATGTACGTCACTGTTTCTCTCTTTTTCTTTTTTATTCACTTATTTTGTTCTCACTCGCTCTCGCACACACACTGTTAATTCAATTATTCACAATTTATTATTGATTACATACATTATTATGTTTTAAAATATATTATAATTTGTCTTAATTATTTTTTATGAAAAAATCCGATAATGTATATTAATGTATATATATAAACTAGTTTTATAACATAAATTGTGCATACAGAATACTTGTATTAAATTTACAAAGTTTCTTGAAATTATCTATAATTCTTCTTCAGAATAATTTTATAGTTAACTTTTTTAATATATGCATTTTGTTCTTAATTGCACAATGAGAAATAAAAAGATTAGGTTATTCTTTCAAATTTATAGGTTTCGATCATAAGGTTTATTTAATATATATGGATCGAGTTAATATTACGTAATTTTATCATACTATATAGACTTGAAAAAAAAATTTTTTTATCTCGGTGAAATTTTTATTAGAAAAAATTTGTATTTATATCTTTAAATTTTTTAAAGCTATATTTACTGAAAAACAGTAATAAAAATGTAACTGAATGACTTCTTTTAAAATAAATTATGTTTTTTTTATTACATTGATAAAAAAAATTGACAATTGGAATTATTAATATTAATTAATTATACATTTATCATTAATATATAAACATATTTTATCTGAATGCAAAGTTTATTTATTTGAAAATTATATAAGATAGTAAGTAATACATAGATAAAGTATAAAACATAGATGAATATCGTGTGAAAAATGAGAATCTTTATTTCTTTGTATTTAATTTATTAAATAACACATTTCTTTGTTAAAGTATAATTTTTGTTGTTAGATTGATATATCATAGTTAGATTTACTTTGCGATTATAAAATATTTTTCTTATTCGATTATATTATAATCAGCTCACATTGAAAAGTTTATTTAGAAGATATTATGAGAATAAATAATTTCGATAGATTCCGGTTAAAATTCTGATAGGATAATTATAATATATTGCTATTAATATTTAATTATTATAATTCATTCAAAAATATAAGTCAATAACTATAACAGTTTAAAACTAAACATAATCTTTAAATATCATACTTTATTTGAAAAATAAAAATGCAACTGGATTACTATAAACAATAATAAATATATCATAAAAAATAAATATTTTGTATATTATGATGCAATATCAAATCGTTTTTTATATTACATTGATAGGACATGATGATAACAATGCTGATGAAAATTATAACCACGGAGATAATTAAAATATTAATAATAAACATTAGATATACATTATAGGCTCAATAAATATCAAATTTGGTACCAAAATTAGAAAAAAACTTAATATTACAGGGTTATATAAGAAATAAATTACTTTTATTAATAGTATGGAAAAAAATTCTAAAATTTAAAAATTTTTATATAGATAATTTAGCAATGGACATAATTTAATATTTTCTCAGAGAAGTGTGAAATCAACATTCGGTTCAGTTTATCTTTATATCTATTCAATTTACAAAAAGTGTAGACAAAGATGTAAAAGAGATAAGTTAAAATTGTAGATTTTACAGATTTTATTTTTTTCATAATCATATACAACTTCGATATTAATGAAACTTTTTTTTCTATTAAAATTAATCCTTATTCACATATTTGTTTTATATAACTTTGGTATGTATCAACGATATATTGAATTTTTATCGCCTCGAAAACATTTTATTTGAGAATAGATTAAAGCAAATTAAGCCATATGAAATCTTAATTATAATACATATTCATAGTTGTATAGTGAATATCAATGATAATATACAAATATTAAGAGTAGTATTCTGTTTATTAAAAGTTTTAATTCAAACAGTAACTATCACTTATGCACACATTCGCAGTTGCAAAAAAGTATTTAGATTAGATATTTTTCAAAACTATTTCGTTAAAAAAAATAGTTAGAATGTTGATAAGGAAACGAAAGTGCTATACAATATCATTGTACAGATAATATAGTGGTAAGATCAATGAATTCACATCTGTTATCGTCTATTCACAACAGTTATCAGTGAAAAATAAGAATTAGTTGATTGAATTGTTTAATTTTTTGTGTATTATAAATTAAATTTTGTTTAATAAACTGTCGCGTTTCTCTCATTTTAATGCAAGAACAGCGATAAATACATATTTTAAGTCTTCAATATTTTAATCATTTTTTATATTTAAGATTTATATGAATGCATTGCACGCATAGTATTTTTTAATTTTTCAATATGAAATTTGAAAGATATTATATATAATTATCTTATATTCTTAAAAATAAGAATTTAAGAAACGTATTTTACTATATAACGAATTAAAATTACTCAACTAATGTATAAAAAATGATATACGTAAACTTCAAACATTTATTGTAGTTTTATATGAAAAATAGTTTTATATGAATTATAGTTTTATATTATATGAAACACAGATCTATTATTATTCAAGAAAATTATATCATAGATGTTTTTGATATTATACTTTCTCATTACAAAGTAAAAAAGAAAAAAAATGTCAATCATCGTGCAAATTTTAATCAATAGTACTGAAGCGAAGACGGCTTTTAGTATTAAAACTAAAAATCCGTTTATCCATTACTTATTCTTTTAATATCCATATTGTATAAAGTACACATGGAGAAGTAATTCTTCGTCGGATCGAAACTCTCTCGTTACACATTTTTCTCGCGAGTTTGGTGTACCCCTTGATCACTCTGCTACACGTGTACACTTTATTAATGTAAGGCTCGTTATCGGCTCTCTTGAAAAATCCATTTCAATCTTCGTTCG